TTCCCTCTCCTCTCCTCTCCTCTCCTCTCCTCTCCTCTCCTCTCCTCTCCTCTCCTCTCCTCTCCTCTCCTCTCCTCTCCTCTCCTCTCCTCTCCTCTCCTCTCCTCTCCTCTCCTCTCCTCTCCTCTCCTCTCCTCTCCTCTCCTCTCCTCTCCTTACGTTTGATCTCCTGGGACTGAATGCTAGCAGGCGAAACAAGTTCCCGAAGATGAAGGAGAGGACTTTGAGCTCAGGCTGCCTGTATATTCTGCGGTATCAGCCCACTCTCTGATCCTCTTCTATCTCCCTCGACTCCTCTTGTCCCCTTCCCATCAACTCCTTTCCACCTGCTCAGTTTACTGCTCTATCTCCTCCCTCCTCCCTCCTCCCTCCTCTTCTCTCCCTCCTCTTTTCTCCCTCCTCCCTCCTCCCTCCTCTTCTCTCCCTCCTCTTTTCTCCCTCCTCTCTCCCCTGCTCTAACTTGGACGCAGGATGCCAAGAAGGACTACACCCTGCTCAACCCGGAGTTCGGCTGGCATTCAGCAGACTTTGAGGAGGAAGGGAACTTGATTGAGGAGGAGGTGAGGAGGAGGCTTGTGCGGCTGCTGCCTTCTGACGAGGAGCAGGAGGAAGGAGAAGGCTCACGTGCTGGAGGTCAAGGTGCTTCTGAATTCACTTCCCCTCCATGACTTGCTCTACAGATGGCGGAAAGCAAGGATTTCCGATGGAGGTGCTATCCGACCCTCCTCTCTCTCTCTCCTCCCTCCCTCCTCTTGCTTCCCTGCCTCCTCTCCTGTCCCCTTCCCTTTCTCTCCGTCTCCCTTCCCTCTCCTCTCTTCTCCCTTCCCTCTCCTCTCCTCTCTCCCTCACCCTCACCCTCTCCCTTCGCTCTTCTCTCTCCTCTCCCTCTTCTTCCCTTCCTCATCTTTTTCCTCCTGCTCACTTATTGACTATCCAACGCAGGTTCCTGACCTGAATATGTTTTCACCCAAGGGCAACGGGATAGCACCCATGGTGAGAAGAGAGGGATGAAGGTGGAAGGCAACATGAGGGAGAGAGGAGAGAGGAGGAGTATGATAGTTTGACAAGTAACGAAGAGAGGAGTATGATAGTTTGACAAGTAACGAAGAGAGGAGTACGATAGTTTGACAAGTAACGAAGAGAGGAGTACGATAGTTCGACAAGTAACGAAGAGAGGAGTACGATAGTTTGACAAGTAAGGAAGAGAGAGGAAGGAGGAGCGAGGGAGAGAAAGCCGATTGAAGGCAGAGGAGATGCAGCGGGAAGAGTTGGGAGTGGCGTGGAGGAGGAAGGAGCGTAAGAGGTGGAGGAGGAGACTGAATGTATGAGCAGGAGCCTAACGGGATTGAGAGTGAAGAGTCTCTCAAGAAGGGATGGCCGTCATGGAACTTCGGCGTCCTCGGATCGGTCTGTGATCTACCTTCTTCTCCCTCCCTCCCCCCCTCGGGAGGAAATGCACCCCGACAACAAATGCTCAACAAACAAAAGCTGCTATCCCTAGAAACAAATTTCCCGGCGGATACGAGACAGTCTATCCTACCTTCTCCGAAAGAGTCGCACAAGATCTGTGATAAACTTTTGTAGCACCAATAGGAAAATTCCTCCAGTCTATGTCGCCCTGGACGTACTGGTGCTCGGTTCCCTCAAAAATGGGAAAAAGA